GTTTTACAGCTTGTGTGTTTCACCGGTTCATGCCTGCAAAACAAAGTCCATACCCCAAAAAAAAGTGAAAGTCCAAAACCCAAAGTTGGACTAGGAAAATGGTTTGCTTATCCAAACCTGATGCTGATACAACCCCTAGGTCAGAAGAAAAGCAGCTATTAATTGATGTCGGGCTAGGTGAGAAAACGGTATTTATACCAGATTTCAATATAAGTCTGGAGCAGTTCTGTCAAGTACTATATACCTACTTCCCTAAGCTTCAAGACGCTGGAGGTTTTGAGTTGCTAACATGTATTGGAAGTGAGAGGAAGTTGGTTACCATAAGAGGGAAGTATACTCCACAAAACATAAAGGACAGGCTGGGCCAAGGCCATATTTATATACGGCCTATACAAAACAGCTTAAATTTGGACCCAGTGCATGTAAGTAGTACTGTATTTATTGAATGTTGATTCTTTTTTAAATTTGAGAAATCTTTTATAAATTTAAACTTAATCATTTTTTACCACTATGCTTTCCATTGAAATAATTTGCACAGTTAAAAAAAACAACATTTCAGAAAGAGATATACAGTAAATCTAATTTATCACAATTACTTTAAGATTATAGATGGCTTATTGGTTATTATTCTTCCTCCATGGTTTACCCTAGTAACATATTATTATATTATTACATGTTACTTTTTTTTTTTTTTTTTGACTTAGTTGTATAGAGTATATTTTTTATAGTTATTTTTAAATTTAATATGATGTCATACCCATCTTTAAATTTCGTCTAGTGATAATAATTATGTACAAACTAATTTTTTACATTATTATTTTTTTGTAGTGGTGTAGACGTGGACTCAGGGCTAATGCAAAAGTTTTCAAAGTGTCAAAAAGAATTCCCATTCAATATCTTGAAGAAACACATTGAAAGCTGTAGCAGGTGAGCTTTTAGTTCATTGTTATAACTGTTGATAATATTTAAAGGTGATTTTAAAGTCAGCTACTTCAATTTAATGTAAAGAAACATTACAGCCTTTCAATGATGAGTGGATTCATAGGCATTATTTCACTTTTTAATTAGTTGGAATTTATATTTTTCTAGACTGTACAATTGTTTTTCACAACATTATCTCCACTAAAATTGATTTACAGCTGGTGGTTTCATGCATCAGCATTGGACTGTTGTATTGAATTTA